GGTCCCTCTCTAGAGCATCTTTTAGTAGTCTATGTAGGGTTGGCTTAGATCATGAAATTCTTTAGTTGTTCTTTGTCATGAAAGTATTTCACTTCTCCATCAAACTTGAAAGAGAGTTTTGTAAGATATAGTAATCTGGGATGGAATTTTTTTCGTAGAAAACTTGAAGTACTCTGCTCCATGCTCTTCTTGCCTTCATGGTTTGTGAAGAGAAGTTTGCCATTATGCTGATGGGTTTTCCTTTAAATGTGATCTGTTTCTTTTCTCTAGCAGCTTTCAGTATATTATTCTTGTGCTGAATTTCTGGGATGTTGACTATTATATGTCTCAGTGTGTTTTTTAATTTGGTTGAATTTATTTGGAGTTCTCTATGCTTCAGTTAGCTGAATGTCAGATTGTTTCCTCATATTTGGGAAGTTTTCTCCTATTACTTCTGCCCATATGCTTTTTATGTCATTTGTATTGACTTCTTCTTTCTCATTAATACCTTTTAGTCTCACGTTGTTCATCTTTGCATCTTCCAGATTACTAATTATTTTTTTCCTGCATTCTAGTTGTTTTTACAAGATCTTTTCTTACCTTTTCACTAACTGTGATGGCATCTTCAAAACTGAATCTCCATCTTCACTTTCACTCAAACGATTTTGCAGGCTTGTGATTGAGATTTTAAGTTCCTCTATATCTCTTTGACTCTGCTTCATGTGATCTATTTCTTTCCTGTATTGCTCATTCAAAGAATCCGTCATTTTTCTAATCTCCTTTATTTTTTATAAGTGTCTTCTTGAGAAGCAGTTATAAATTCTTTTACTACAGAGATTATTTCTGATCTGATTTCCTCTATGTTTCTGCATTTGATTCTTTACTTCAGATGCTATTGAGATTTTTTTTTATTTCAGAGGTTATTTCTGATCTGAGTGCCTCTATACTTTTCTGCAGTTGTTTCTTTACTTCAGACGCTATTGATTCAGATGTTTCAGCTGTATGATTCCCAATTTCTTCTGTGTTAGTGTCCTCTGCACTTATTCTGGGTGGGCTTGGGGCCTGAGATTGCATTTTGCTCCTTCTCTTTGTCATTTTGTGTAGTACTGTCCTCTGACCTTTGTTGTAGAGCTTTGGTGCAGTTATAACCTTAGCATGTACTGAAATGTTGCAGATCTAGTAGTTTGAGTTCATCCATTTGTGCCTGCTGTGCTCAGCTCCTTCCTGCTGCAGCTCTTGGAAGTGAATCTGTTGTGCCCCCCTGGCAAGATGTTCTGCTCCTGTATTAGCTGGGTGGTTTTGGCCCATAGTTTCTCTGCAAGGACTTCAGCAGCAGATTTTCCCCCCAGGCCTGTATTCCAGTCCTGGATTGGGTCTGTACTGCTCAAGAGGGTGAAGGAGTGTGCTGATGATCTCCTACACACTCACTGCACCTGAGTTTGGGCTGGTTCTGGAGGTGTCCTGAGAGCGTGGCAGAAGTTTTCACTCACACGGTGGGCTTGGGCTGGCTCCAGAGGGGTAGAGGGGTCCAGAGAGTGCAGTGGAAAGTCTCACTCATGTGCCGGGCTTGGACTTGGTCTGGGGAGGTCCAGCAGGCGCAGGAGAGCATGGAAGCTCTCCCACACACTGGCTGTGCCTTGGCTTGGGCTGGCTCCAGAGGTGTGGAGTGGTCCCGAAAGTGTAGCAGAAAGTCTTACTCATGGGGCACACCTCGGCTTGGTCTGCGGAGGTCAGTGGGTGCAGGGGAGCATGGGAACTCTCCCACACACTCGCAGGGCCTGGGCTTGGGCTCTCTTCTTGATTCTTAATCTTAATCACCAACTGAATTGGCTTGAAAGCCATTTAGGAGATTAGTAAGCACACTTGGGTGTGTCTGTGCAGGTCATTGAGGCATGGTGGTTTAGATAGAAATTTATGTGTTGATTTAGACCTAAAATATACTCCATAAGTCCCATATGTTTGGAAATAGTTCCTGGATGGAGAGGACAGGCCACGGTGGTATGATCAGAAAGGATGTGCTCTTTACCCTGCTGCTATTCTTTATCTCTGTTTCACCATTACCATGTTGCCAATATTCTATCAAGCAGGCAGTTCCTTTATATGATATTTGCACTGAAAACTACCCACCATGAACCAAACCTGTTGAAACTATGAGTCAAAGTAAATCTCTTCCCCTTTAAATCACAGGTGTCAGGCAATTTGTCCCTTGTGTTTCTGGCCCATTTCTCTCTGGCATTGTCCCTGGTTCTACTTCCTGACACCACAAGTTGAGCAGCTTTCCTTTGTCAAATACCCCCATGATGATCTTTCTGCCTTGGAGATAGTTAATCATGAATGGAAATCTCTGGACTCTTGAGCAACAAAATAATCTTCTCCTATTTAAAAACATACATGTTGGTTACCATGTCTCAGCACAAGGAAAGTTGAATGACACATTACCTTAATAATTTTAACCATAAAGACAAAAGGAAGCAACTCACAAATGTGTTGTGTCCTCTTACACTTTTATTTTTTGTGTCTAGGTATACTCCCAAAGCTTCATGTAGTCACTATGACAGGCTTCTAGACTTTGTGATTAATTCTATATAGTCCTGGGATTATGGGTGTGAGTGCTACACCCAACCTGGGGAAGATAACCTGAATGTAACATAAGAGAGACAGACTGCTCTCTGTAGCCACTCCTGCCACTGCTATTCCCTTTTGCTCTTGCTGTTTTGCTGTTTTCAGTTTCCATGAACTGCTGTCCTCTGCCATGTGTAGCTCCTTCTTGGAACCAGTTAAGTGTGGACTATAACCTCTACTAATTCCTTCCTTAACTTAGGGTATCATGTATTTTGTGCCAACAATGATAGAGAAGTAACTGAGACAAACACATATTGGTATATTTTATTAAAAATTATTTAAGTCATTTTAACACATCCAATTGAGGTCTTTAAATAGAATATACATTTTTACATATGTAGATTATTGTCCCAATTACTTTTCTCATTGTGGAAACAAAATATCCAACAGCCAAAGTTGAAGGAGTTGATGTTTATTTGGCTTACAGTTTGTGGAGGTCCCAGTCCATTATTAGCTGGCTCCAAGGTAAGATGGCATGGCAAAGGGCAATCACAGAGAAGAAACAGTTCATGACAGACAGAATGAAGCAAATCAGCAAAGTATCAAGCAGCAAGCAAGTGACAAGGAATAAAATCTGACTCTCTTTCGGTAACATGTATCTTATCCAGGCTATCCACCCTGACAACAGGTAGCATTCACTCCCAGGGTAGGGCAGCCTTAATCCAAGCACTACACCATAATTCAATCCCAGCAGCACATCTTTGTTCCCAACAGGGCACAAAGTAGATCCAGCCACTTCCAAAAAGTGTATGACTATCCCCCACCTATGACCACCTCAGGCTTTAGGGAGCCATCTACAAACAAGCCATATAAAATAATTATATTCTGTTTAAATTTTATTTCATTTGTAAGCCACTCAGAAAGGGTTATTACAAAATATTAATAATTTAAAGAGTGTTGAATCTGATAAAGATGTAAGCATTTTGTTGTTTCTATTTTATTGTGCTAATTATGTAGCTATATTTAATGTATCTCAAAGCAGATATAAATATGGAGGTCATTGATAGCAATTAAAGTAAACATAGCTAAATGAAGTAAACATATTTAATAAAGAAATACTAATATACTTTGTAGCTCACTGTATATTGTATTAATGAGATATTTTCAATTTCAAGATTATGGTGGCCTACTATAGCCCTTGCTATGAATATACTCAGATCTTACTTTAATTGACATATACTTCCTCCCAGATCTGCTGGTCAGTATTTCCTCAACTAAATTTTATTTCAAATTTGCCTTTGGTAGAATGAAAATTCTTTACTGTGAAATTGCTGATATTTGCCAGCCAAAACATTTGCATACTGATAAGCCAGGCAGTTCTACTGTCTCTTATACTATGAATACAATGATTACCCCTTCTAGTGACTAGCTCTTCACTAAGTATTTTTCCAGTTATTATGACACTCATAATAATTTGTGGTTGGAATTTAATTTTCCATAAGATTTTCCAACTTTATTTGGTCCTCTGAAAGCTAATAATGGAAGTTAAATGCCTTCTTAATCTTAAGAAATTCAAGTTTTCATTATTTTAATTTTAATAACAGAAGTTGTTTAGCTCAATTGAAGAGTCAACATCTTAATAAGCAAGTGTAAATTATTGCTTAGTAGGTACCTACCAATACCACTTCCAAAATCAATGCATTAATAGTATTCTTTAGTCATGGTAGACTTGTCAGGCCCACAGACTCACAAAGGAGATTGTGGTTAAGGCTTAAATAAATGAGTCAAATGGTATGATTTTAGGGCTCCAGGAGGATAAAAACTCTCTAACAGAATTGGAGATTCTCTGAGGGCTAAGATAGAGATTTTCTCTGGGGAGACATATTTATTTATTGTCAAAACGAGAGAAGGGAATACTGAGGAAAGGTAGAAACCTCTCAATGACTTCTCCAAGTAAGATATTATGTTAATTTATGAAAACCATTATATTTCCAAAAAGGTCTCCACCCAGGAGTGAGAAGCCTAGTGCTACAGTCCATATTTAATAACAGTTGGAGCCAGATGTCCTTACCTATGGCCTTAGACAAGTGGTGTAGGCCTTCGACAGACTGACAAGTAAGCATGAAAAGCCAATTTTTTGTTTGTTTGTTTTATGTATTTAGTACAGAGTCTACAGGTCTCAATACACAGATCGGATTGTCATAGTCATTCTCCTGTTTTCAGCTTCCCAAGTGCTGGAATTACAGGTATGTGCCTCAAGGCCCAGTCTCAATTGCTGTCTCAGCATGTCCCAAGGGGGGGGGCAGCATGACAAATCTGGGATTGAACCCAGGCCACCGCATTCTGCCTATACAAGTAAAAGCCAATTGTTTAAAGCCAACTGGCCACACAAACCCGCACCGGCTAAGAATCAGCGGCTTACGAAGGTGGAGCTCGGCAGCAGATTGCAGCAGGCAGCGATGTACCTCACGGCGACAGTGGAACTGGACACCAGTAGCCAGCACCAGGCAGTCCGCAAAGAAGTGGCTGAGAAATGCTAGAAACTGTTCCTCAACTTAATGGAGAAGCCCCAGAGAAGCAATGGTGAAATTGAGTACTTGCATTTAGCCAAGGAGCTGATTTGTCTTGAGAGGAACACATTTGTTGTACGTTTTGCAGACTTGGAACAATAAAACCAGCAACTCTCCACAACCATTCAAGAAGAGTTCTACAGAGTCTACACTTACCTGTGTTGTGCCTTGAAGACTTTTGCCAAAGGCTATAAAGAGACCCTTCTTGCCAAGAATTTTTATGTTGTGTTCCAAGAGCTACCTACTAGACACAAGATTCGAGAACTCACCTCATCCAGAATTGGTTTGCTCACTCGCATCAGTGGGCAAGTAGTACGGACTCACTCCATTCACCCTGAACGGGTGAGCAGAACTTTCCTGTGCTTGGACTGTCAGATGGTGATCAAGGATGCAGAATACCAGTTCAAATACACACAGCCAACTATATGCTGAAATTCAGTTTGTGTCAACAGGAGGAGATTCTTGCTGGATACAAATAAATCAAGATTTGTTGATTTTCAAAAGGTCCATACTCAGGAGACTCAAGTTGAGCTCCCCCAAGGAAACTTTACCCACAGTTTAGAAGTAACTTTAAGGGCTGACGCTGTGGTGTCAGCTCAGGCTGGTGACAAGTGTGACTTTACGGGGACCTGATTATTGTGCCTGACTTCTCTAAGCTTAATACACCAGGAGTCTGCAGAAACTAATTCCCATGTCAGCAGCAGTGCTGATGGCTAAGAGACAGAAGGCATTCAGGGACTCCAAGCCTTTAGTGTTTTAAGGATCTTTCTTACCCACTGGTCTTTCTTGCCTGTTGTGTTGCACCAACCAACCCACATTTTGGAGGGAAAGAGCTCAGAGATGAAGAACAGACAGCCGAGAGCATTAAGAACCAGATGACTGTAGAGGAGTGAGAGAAAGTTTTTGAAATGAGTTGAGATGAAAATCTCTGCCACAATCTTTGTACCAGCCTGTTTCCTACTATACATGACAATGGTGAAGTAAAATGGCGTGTCCTGCTGATGCTCCTTGGTGGTGTTCTAAAGACAACAGGAGAAGGGGCCTGTCTTTGAGAAGACATAAATGTTTGCATTGTTGGTCACCCAAGTACAGCTAAGAGGCAGTTTTTCAAGCACGTGGAAGAGTTCAGCCCCAGAGATATCTGCACCAGTGGCAAAGCATCCAGAGCTTCTGGCTTAACAGCTGCCTTTGTGAGAGATGAAGAATCACATGAGTATGTTATTGAGGCTGGAGCTTTGATGCTGGCTGATAATGGTGTGTGTTGTATTGATGAATCTGATAAAATGGATGTGTGGGATCAAGCTGCTATTCATGAAGCTAGGGAACATCAGACCATTTCCATCACTTTTGGCAGCAGCAAACCCAGTTAGTGGACACTATGACAGGTCCAAGTCTCTGAAGCAGAATATAAATTTGTCTTCTCCCACTATGTCCTGATTCAATCTCTTCTTTATCTTGCTGGATGAATGTAATGAGGTTACAGATTATGCTATCGCTATGTGGATAGTAGACTCACATTCAAGAATTGAGGAGTCGACTGACAGAGTCTACTCCCTTGATGACAATCAGGAGATATCTTCTTTTTGCCAGACAGTTCAAACCCAAGATTTCCAAAGAGTCAGAGGACTTCATTGTGGAGCAATACAAACATGTTCACCAGACAGATGGTTCTTGGGTAGCCAAGTATTTGTGGAGGATCACAGTGCAACAGTTTGAGAGCATGATCAGTCTTCTGAAGCAATGGCCTGCATGTATTGCTGTGATGAGGTCCAGCCAAAACATGTGAAGGACACTTATCAGTTACTAAATAAGTCAATCATCTGTGTGGAAACTCCTGATGTCAATCTAGACCAAGAAAAGGAGACCCAGATAGAAGATGATGAGGGTCTGGATGGTGTCAATGGTCTTGCTGACAGTCCTGCCCCTGTGAATGGAGTCAATGGCTACAGTGAGGACATAAATAAAGATCTTGTTTCCAAAGCCTCCTTTAGGCTGGGCTTTGAGTACTGCCAAATCTCTAACCTCACTGTGCTTCACCTCAGAAAAATGGAAAAAGAGGAGGATGAGTCAGCATTGAAGAGGAGTGAACCTGTTAACTGGTACCTGAAGGATACTGAATCAGAAATAGACTCAGAAAATGAATTTATACATAAAAAGAAAATGATAGAGAACGTCATTCATCGCCTCATGCACTACAACCATATTCTCATTGAACTCACCCAGGCTGAGCTCCACAGAGGGAAGTGAGAACTATGAAGAAGATCCACACTTAGTAGTTAGCCCTACCTGTTCAAAGACTGAGGAGTGGAAAGTAACTGACAAGAGTTGATGAGTTGAGGAAAAGGACCTTCCAGCCTGGAGTCTGGGTATGGCTCTGCCAGACAGAAGAATGAATTTTTTTAAAAACTACTATTTCTTTCATTCATTAAAATAAATTTCTTCTAAAAAAAAAAAAGCCAGCTCAAGTCACTTTGTAGTGGTCACCATCATAAAACTATGCAAAAGAGATGTTCGACAAAGTGTGAGAGGAATGATATATTATAAAAAGAAATTCTGAGATAGTGTATTTGGTTTTCCATGTATATGTGGTAGGACTTACTAAGTTAACTCAATGAGAATTGTGTAGACCAAACAACTGACTGATTTTCTTTATACTATATTTCAGTCTTACTCTTTGTTTCTATCTTCCTTCTCATATATTTGTCTAGAAAGTAAAATATCCACTTCCAGCAGAATTTCATTTTTTGACAATTATTTAAGACCTTTATTAACAGGTGCTTGCCGTTTGTTGACTTTTTTGAAAAAATCAAGTTGTAAACTTTTATCACGAATTAAAAATGAAGTTCTTAAAAATCTCAACTTGACCAGATATGAAACAATGTAAAAACCTTTAAAGGTGTATTGAGAAAAACCAGGCTTTTTTAAAAAACACGTTTGTCATTACCAAGAAGAGACGTCTTTAGGTAAAAATAATAAATCCCCATGCTGCACAGATAATGCAGATAGTTCTAGTTATCTGGTCAATGAGCAAAAAGCAAGCACTTAAGGGCTTCAGCTCCAATCCTTTGTTCATTTATTACTGGAATTTCCTATTTGTTTCTTTCTTCCTGTATGACTGAACCAGATGATGGTAGAGACAGTAAGCTGGCATTTACTCAGCCCCACCCTGCTCAACCTCAGGAGCCAATGAATTCTCAGCTGGTGGATAGGCTGCTTTTGTCTCTTTGCCATCTTGTGGTTTAGGGTTTTCTGGGTGTCTGCGTAGGTAATTGAAGTTGTGACAGTACCAATGTTGAGGTGGCTGCTGATCTTGGGTCTCATCTCCTTGATTTTCCTTATCTTCTTCATTGCCATCCTCTCTAGGCTGTTTTTGGTGAGGAGGGCCCCTGCGGAATCGTGGTCTATAACCTCCGTAGATATTCTGCCTCCCTTGTCTACCTTGTTCTCCTGCACCTGTTGTAACCCAAGAAGGAGACAACCAGGCAAAACGTCCAAAAAGATGGTAGTGCTTTATGTTAGCTAGTACCCAGTGGCACCCTCAGAGTCCAAGAGACAGAGAGGAGCCCCGAGTAAGGGGAGGCACAGTAATTTAAACCCAAAAATCGCACAAAACCGCCCAACCAAGCAAGCCGATCACGGAAGCCAATAGCAGATGTTAATGTGGTCAAGGGAGCATATGACTTTTTACAGGATTGGTTGTAGCACACCTGGAGGAAGCTGGACACAGAGAACTTGCCCCTTTTGGACTAGTGGAGTACAGAACAGGGTGTGTAATCTAGGTATGCAGTCATGCTGACCTTATAAGGACAATGTGGCCGATCGGTTGCCAGGAACACCTGTTTTTCTTCGCCTTGAGACATTCTCAGAACCAGGGCAAAGGTGAATCAGAGGAACAAGATGGAGTTACTAACGTCAGGGTATAACATGCCTTGAAGGGAGTGGGGTTAAGAAACAAAAAGTCACATTTTACAGTAGCTGACATAGTTTACTAAGACGGCGCATTCAGAACAGGGTGGTGGCTCTTTGGTCAGGTTATAACAGCACCCTGGCTGTCAGCACCCTCCATCAATTCTTCTTGCACAGGAGGGTTGGAATACTGTGGTCGACACCTATAGGGTCTCCACATGTACTAAGGTGGGAACCTTCCCCTGCAGTAGGGCCGGCATGGCTGGGCCTGGCCTTCGGGAGAGCTCTCCGATCCCTCATTCTTTTCCCCACTATTTTGGTAATTCTTCTGGTAACTGCGTGGAGGACACCTACCACGTCGATAGTGTCTATAATGGTTACGGTCTGCTGTGTATTTACTGCCTTGAACTGGAGCTCCACCAGGGCCTGTGACATTTGCTGCCTCCGCACCCTTTTCTCCTTCAACAACACCAAGCTCCACAGTCTATCTCCTACACTGCGAAGGTCCTTCCTGGGGTTATTCTTCTTTATGGCACTCTGGTGTACAAATACATCTTCCTTGGTGTCATTCCTGTTGATGAAGCCATATCCGTTTCTTACATTAAACCATTTTACTGTTCCCAAAATCTTCATTGTGATGACCTCCTTGTCCCCACCGCCAGCGGTGTGTGAGGCTGCCTGGGCCGCCGCTCCCTGTGCTGCTGCCCCGGTGCCGGCTCGGTGTCAGCAGCCCTGAGGGCGGGAGGGTGGTGGGCGGCTGCTGGGTCTCAGCCTCGCTGCTCATGGTTGCGGTGATGGTGACTGGGGCCAGCTGTGGCAGCTGCGGCTCCTCCCGGTGTGTGATGGTAACTAGGCCGGTGGTGGGGCTGCCCAGGGCTCTCTGGGGTCTGGTCTCAACTCCCTTTACAGATTGAACTCTCCAGCAGAATTTCAAATGAAATATTTTTGCCAATTAAGAAATTTGGCATATTGCCATGGTGTTCTTGAAATTTTTAAATTTTATTTGATTTTTGTATTCAAAGATATGTAATAATCTCATTGTGATCAATTCTCTTAAAGTGCTTAGGGTCTACAACTAAAAAAAAACGAAATGGAGTAAAAAATTAATTTTTGTTATTATCAAAACAATTCTACAGTAGAAAGTCCCTCAAGGAATGTGATTTTAGGAAGATGGAAGATAAGTGATGTTTTTACATTGCTATTATCAAAATCTGGAAAAGAAATCTAGCCTGGAAAGCTCCTTCCCTCCAAGTCTGGGTAGTTGAAAAACTACTACTTGAGGTTTCTGACCAAAGAAGGCAGGGCAAATGGCTGGTTCATGAGTTTAGGATTTTTTTGGTCTTTGGTCATAGAGGTAGCTCAGCAGTCTAACCTCAAGCCTAAGCAAGCTAAAGGACCCCAGGTTACATCACCCTGGCACCACATGCCATGTCAGCGCTGTGCCTGGGCACGCTGAACCAACCACCAAGATTGGACATGGTGGTGCACGCCTGTAATCCTGGTGCTGGGGAGGCTGAAACAGCAGGATCACTATGAGTCCAAGCTACACAGTGATGCATAAAAAAAAAGAAAAGAAATGGAAAGAAAAGAAAAGAAAAGAAAAGAAAAGAAAAGAAAAGAAAAGAAAAGAGGAATCTTTCGTCTTTGTAAACCTTAGCATTTTCACTATGTCAGTTATTTAGAACTATCAGCTCTTTCTCTTGGAATCTGAACTAGAACTTTGGCCACAGTTTATGGTCACTGTAACATGATTTATGCTGGAAAAATGTTTGTTTCTTGTAGCTGTCATTGAAATATAATTATTCCTCATAGAAAAAATGTTAATGCTTGCTTGTAATGAGATAAAGAATACCTAAAATATTTATGGCATTTTATAAAGCTTATAGACCCAAGAGATTTATATGATCATTGTGGATTTAAAATAAATAATAAGCAAATATTGAAGGATTTTTTAAAAGCATATTCTTGTCATGGTTCATTATTTACTAACATTATACTGACAACAAAAAACAGTTAAATGCTGAGTTCCAAAGTAATCTGAATCATGTTCTTTAAGTGTCCCTTTAATGGCTTTGTTTATCAAATCATTTTTCTCATACAGTTAATGTGTCCTCATTAAATAGACAAGTTACAAAAATGATGCAGTCAGCTCATCCACAATTTTTAAGCTTTCATTTCTTTCCATTTTTTTAAGTATTTTGGGGAAGGGTCTACATACAGAGTGTTAAGGGTCTCACTACAAGATTGGACTCATAGTTATTCATCTGTTTACAGCCTCCCAAGAGCTGAGATTACAGGTGTGCACCACCACACCCAGTCTCCCATTTCTTTCTTAAATGATTTTATGGAGTGATATGGTAAAGATTCTCAACAAATCAATTATCAATAAGATCAGGAAGAAGAAATGATCCAAATGCATACAGGAAAGCCATAAAAAGGAAGAGAAATAAATGAAAAGAAAGAAAGCTAATAATGATTAGTATCTTAGGAAACAAAACACAGAGAAATCATACTGATGATCCTCTAGATTTGAAAACATGAAGTATTACTAAGACAAACTTAAAGAAATAGAGACTTCATGGCTCTATTGACCAGAATTTGAGTCTCCTATTTATTTTATCTTTCAATTAATTTAATTGAGAAAGAAATAGCTATGAGACAGTTTCAAAACAGGTTAGTAGGACAGATACAATAATTAATATACTGCATATTGTTGTCTTTATAGTAGTTATTCATAGTACAAGATGCAGAAATGATATCTTGTCTAAACACTATTAGTACAAATCTTTCTTCTCATTGAACTAAGAGAAAGTAGCTGTATATTTATCCTATTTTGTATATACATATATATCTATATCTATATCTATCTATCTATATATATGTATATATATATATACACATATATATTCACTATAAAATGGTCCTTCATTTATATCCTCCTTTTTTGTTTAGTTTTGTCAGAGAGGAGAGTCACCTAGAGAAAAAAAATTCTCTCAGGCTTTCGCAAAGGGCAAATTGGCCAAGCAGTGGCCATGACTCATCCACATGGCTAACACTAACAAAATATCTACAAACTACTGTACATGGTTTCAGGGTAAATCCTGAGGAGATTTGACTGACCTTGTCTGATACAAAAGTTACATGTTTAGCTCTATAGGTCTTGCTTTATCTTGGTCTTAACCATTGAGTAGAAAAGTATAAACACAAGGTATAAAAAGTAAAGCCATATCAATATGCTGAGCTGTAAAAGGTTCAAGTCAACAACTTCTGACATTGCCAGTCCTAAGGATAACCCACTACTATTCTGGTCTACTGAAGTCTGCTTTTAAAAGACAGCTATGCTGATTCTGAGGTAAATCCAAATGTTTAAATTATTCTGAGACTCAATGTTTCCTGTTTCTACTTTGATAAAATGTAAAAAAA